CAAAATCTTCGTGTTGAAGAATTTGCACAAGATCTTCATATGCTGCCGTTGCTAAATAACATTCGTATTAGTAAATTGAATTTAAAAGCATTTTAAAATAAACGGCAAAGCGCTATGATATGTACAAATCATGTGTTTGGTCACCCATATGAAAAGCATGGCAGCGGTAAAATTTGGAAAGTAAGGACCGTAAGCTCCATTAAACGAGCTCATGTTTTGTGATGCTTCATCACAAGTTTTAGCATTCAGATCTTGCATATTTATATCATCCTCCTCCTCATGGTATTGATCGAAAATTTCGTTATTCAAACAATTAATATTATAGAATTAATCTACGTTCAGGCTACGGTTATTGAAATGTTAGTAAAGTAATGACATACCCATCGATTTCTAAATCGACACCACTGGATTCAGATTCTTGTTCAATGTCGGCTCTGGTGTAAATAATCACTTTAATAATATTTTTAACTTCAGTAAAACAGTGACAAATAATTCGTACTCTCTGCTGTACTCTTCACGCGGCCGCTGAGAAGCGTCATATTGATTGAAATAAAACGCCTTTGATAATTCAGAAAGTTAGATGAAGGGTATCATTAAAGATTAAGTCAGTCAAATATTCAAACATACGTCTTCATGTGATGCTTTTCGTGTAGGTTTTGTCTTTGGTTTTCTCGGTCTATATCTATAGAGATATCCCGAAGTTTCAATTTTTCGCATGCGCACTCTTGTCATCTCTCAGTAATAATAGTACGATAAAAAGTTAGGAAAACTTTTTTATTGACCAAACGTCTGTAATGCGCGTGCTTTTTTAAACTAATATTTTGTACAACTTCATTGTTATTATCTCGCACTTGAATCTATTATCACCCAAATACATTATCAATCAAACAATACTACCGTCTGATATTTTTTTGTCTGCAATCGAACAATACTATCGTTCGAGTATTTTATCATTTGTTATTGTTGTCACAATATAATGTTACGAAAAAATCTTGTTTATTGACCAAACGCGTACTTTTTAAACTAATATTTTGTACAACTTCATTGATATATCAATCGAACAATACTATCCTTCGAGTATTTTATTATTGTTATCCTTGCCTCTCAATTGAACAATATAATATTATTACCCGAGTATAAAGGTAATAAAACATTTTCACATCCGACACCCAAAGTCTTAGAAACTTTGAAAACTTCAAAACTATTATGAACCTACAAAACAATTATCTCATAACTTTTCTACTAAATCTTTCGCGACCGCTAGATTATCGATCCCAAATCTATTTTAATAAACAGAATAAACATCCCCCAAATTTCAGTCCAACTCAGTTGGCGTATAACGAGTAGTTTGGCTGCGGATCAAATTAAAATACAAAGAAATATCATCTACAGAAAAGTAATTGTCTTACTGCTAACCGAGACGTGATTGAATACTTAGTTGGAATTAGTAATTCTAATGTCATGGCGTCAAGT